GCTGTGCTGTCAACTTTGGAAAAAGTATCCCAGTTGTACCGTGTTGAGTTGGCATTGTACAGAAATCAACAGCCATATTGCTCTAGAAATGTTAAATTTTTTTTTTCCATTTGTACAGGGGTAACGCACTGTATTAAATATGTAAGGTCTTATCTACATGGGTTTGATTACAGAAACTAATAAAGTATTCTCTAAATAATGGAAAAAAAAAAAAGAGAAGATGGTCTTAGACTACTCCTGTCTTTTGTGGTTACCAGAGTGTGTTCTTGGAGAAGAAGCCTTGGTTCCTTAAAGTTCTTCCTCCGCTGGCTTGGCCTTCCTCCTTTCCCACCACCTCTTCGTGAGGACTGCCCTCTCCCTCTCTCATTCACCTCCCATGTTTGGTTTTCAGGGAAGCCCAAGGTCTCACCATTTTCTTCACAGTATTTCCACTGTAGCTTCTCATCGTAACTGGATGTCACCGAACACCACTTCTTTTGCAGCCAGCTGCCTTCCGTGGTGCAGCTATTGAAGGATTTTCCATGATAGAGAAAAGGGAAGATGCATCGTGGATAATCTGTAGGGAAAGAGACACCCTAGGTAATCATCAGGGAAAACGAAACTGTGGGAATCAGTAAGGGAAAGTGTGTTACAAATAATCCATAGGGAAATGTGCATGAGGAGTAATCTGAAAGCAAAACTGCATCATATGTAATCTAAAGGGAATGATGCATCATGGGTAATCTGTAGGGATAGAAGCATCATGGGTAATCTGCAGGGTAAACTGCATCATGGGTAATCTGCAGGATAAACTGCATCATGGGTAATCTACAGGGTAAACTGCATCATGGGTAATCTGCAGGATAAACTGCATCATGGGTAATCTACAGGGTAAACTGCATCATGGGTAATTTGCAGGGAAAGCTGCATCATGGGTAATCCGTAAGGAAAGGTGTCCATAAATGTCGACTCCACATTCAGCTTGAATCCACCAGCTGTTCCAAGGCCAAATGATGAGTCAGTTGGCTCTTTTTAAGATTGACAGCCCCGGAAATCTCACGAGTGAGATTCAACTCAATATCAATGGATTTGGCTTTTTGGTTTTATACTTGTGCATGTCATCACATTTGGGGATAAGGTATGTATGTCAATGCATGTTGTGTTTTGAGCCAGTCCCTTTAAGATAGATTTAAAAGGAGATGGGTAAGTACAGAAGCAAAGAAGCCCAAGTGAGGAGAGGTGTCACGTGGAGATTAACAATAAACAGAGGAACAGAAGTAAGGAGAGGGACAACCAGGTCCTCTCTCCAGAGCCAGCAGAGAGAGAGAGAACGCCTTCCCCAGAGCCTGAGCTCCCTGCATCCAGTTCCAGCCTCCCAAACTGTGAGATTGTGGGCTCTGCGGCCTCACCTTCCTTTTCACAGTACTTCCAATTTCCATCATAAATGGCTTTGGTTGCACACCAGGGAAAGATGCTGTTGATCTTGGTGCATGAAAAAGAAGTCAACCCTTTGTAGATGAAGGGAAATACACACGACCCTTTCTTATCTGTAAGAACGAAACAGGGAGGGACAAGAATGAGTCCTGATTTGATTATTTTTTTAATTAACATGTGAACATTTTAGTTTTAAAGTCAATAAGGTAATTTTTTTGGTATTACTTTATATTTTTTATGTTTTATTCAGTCTTCATATACATTGTATTTTATACAATTAATTATCATTGATACATGGTTCCTTATCGGGGAACCCCACAGCTTTGCCTATTTCTTTTTTATATTATAAGAATGTCATTTTTTAAATCCGACTAAGGACTGCTAGGAAAACAAACAGGTTCATCCTGGAGGGGGTGAAACTGGGTTGCTCCTTGAATGCAAAAAATCTGAAACTTTGTCTGACACACTTTGGACATGTTGCAAGGAGGGACCAGTCCTTGGAGAGGGAAGTCATGCTTGGGAGAGTGGAGGGACAGCGCAGAAAATGAAGACCCTAGATGAGATGGATCGATTCAGTGATTGGAGTAATGGGAGTAGATGTGTCAGAGACAGTGAGGTTGGCACAAGATAGAGCAGAGTTTAGGGCTCTTGTACATAGGTTTGCTTTGAGTTGCAAGTGACTCAATGGAACATAACAACAACAACAACAACAACAAGCTAGACTGGTGAGTAGGAATCAAATGCTGTGTACATTGGCCCTGATTTTGCGTTCCTGGGCCATGATGGCCTTGTTTTTATGAGATGAAGAGTTTTTGAAAAAAGTAAAAGATAT